AGCCGGGGCCCCGCCAGCAGGCGAGGGAAGCCCAAGGCAGGCGCTGGGCGTGGAGGCCACGGGGGCATAGGCTACCGAGGAGACACAGAACTGACCCTCTCGGGGGGCGCTGCCCCGCCCTCACTCGCACACCTCACATCACCCTGCTTGGCCCCGGAGGATGGCTGGTTAGCCAGAGACGGGTAAGATTCCTCAGGGAAGGAACAACCTAAGACAGGCACAGTCGCAGAGGGGCCATCAGGAGAGAACTTGGGGGCCAACAGAGGTGGGGCACAGACCCTCACCCCCCCAACTTTGCAGGGGCCTGAACCCTCACCTCTTCTGAGGGAGGTCTCCTGCCCCCATGGCTGCTTCGCTTCCCACGCCCAGCTCAGATCGGGACCCAGGTAGCGGACAGAGACCTGGCCAACAGCAACTGCCCGCCGGCTGCAGCAAGAATTTGTTTTCCGTTTGTACCTTGGACCACGGGGAAAGGGGCAGGCAAAGGAAAAGGCTGTGTTGGGTGTCTTCTTCCCTTTTTTCTTCCTTGTTTTCCTGAATGCCTCCTCGCCTCATAGTTCTTTCGCTTTTTCTTTGCTTTCTCTTTCTTTTTACTCTCTACTTCCGTCTGTCTCCCCATCTCTCCCTTGCCCCAGCCCCATCCTGCCTTCTCTCTCTTTCTCTTCTTTTCCTTCACCTCCCCTCTTCCTGAACCCCCCCCCCCCCCCCCCCCGCGCCTTGCTCATCTCCCTGCCCCAACATCCTGTGCCATCCCTGTGGTGTGTTCTGGTCTTGGCCACGGCCAGACCGGGCAGAACTGATGGATACCTGTTGAGGCAGCGGAGCCCTTGGGCTCCCACCCCATTCCCTCCTCCCGGGGCTGCACAGGTGAGTAGGTGGAAGGTAAGGGGGGCAGGGAGGGGAAGGAGGTCCTGGCTTAAAGCCTGGGCTGGGAGTGCTGCTCTGTGGCGCTCGGGTCAGGCAGCAAGAAGAGAGTCAGCCTTCAAGGCAGTCATTTCTGGGTGCCCCGGGTGAGGTGGGGAGTGGGGCCTCTTTCCCCAGAGCTCCGAGGCTGGGGAGGAGAGAGGAGAAGCAGGATGGGGCGGGCGGTCCCCTGGGCGTTGGAGTATTTGCTCCTAGAGCAGCTCAGGAGGCACGGTGGCTCTGAAGCATCACTCACTTCTGTCCCGTTTTTGACAGCGCCATTCGAGAACGATTTCCCAAATTATTACGCCTGGTAAGTCCGTAGCTCTTTAAATTCTTTTCTAACGAGCATAGGCTCTCCCACCCAAAAGCTCTTGCCTCATGTGTGTTCGTATGACCGTTAATTTAGAGACAACGAAGACCTTTGAGAATCTGGCAAAGGCTATAATCCTTCTCAGAAAAAGGCCCGTAGACAGAAATTGCCTCTGTCGGGATTCCTGGACCTTTTCCGTGTGTCCTTGACCCTTGATCTTTGACCCCTCGTTCCTAGTTTGCCCATGTCATTACTCATCCAGCCTTTTCTCTCTGGTTACACTGTCGACTTCCCACAGGATGGCCATGAGTTACCCCCGCCAATTGCATTTGATGTTGAAGCCCCCACAATGTTACCTCCCTGCAAGGTAAGAAGGGGGCAGCGCTAGAATTCATGTTGGGAGGAGAGGATTGGTTACATGGTCTTGATACCTGTGTGTGATTCCAGGGAAGCTACTTTGGAACAGAGACCCTGAAGAATCTGGTCCTGCACTTCCTGCAGCAGTGAGTATGCAGGCCGCCCCCCTCCCCCGCCAGGCTGGGGAGCGGTGGGCGGGTCCCGGCACAGCGCCCTCTGGGGAGCCAGACCCGGGAGCTCAGACTGTCCCTCTTGTGTTCTGCACAGGTACTATGCGGTGTACGACTCTGGAGACCGGCAGCGGCTCCTGGACGCCTACCACGACGGGGCCTGCTGCTCCCTCAGCATTCCCTTCACGCCCCAGAACCCTGCCCGGTGAGTGTCCCTGCCCACGGCCTGCCCGGGGCCGTGCAGGCGAGCACCTGCTGGCGCACATCCTGCTCTGATCCCTGCCTCCTTGTCCGCCTCTTCCTCTAGAAGCAACCTGGCCGAGTACTTCAAGGATAGCAGGAACGTGAAGAAGCTCAAAGACCCGAGTAAGTGTGCGGCGTGAGCCGAACGGGGTGGGAAAGGGGGGGTGGGCGGGGCTCGGCCGCGGGGCTTGGGAGCATGCGGCAGCCCCTGACCTTGGGCTCTCCTCCTCCCGCAGCCCTGCGGTTCCGGCTGCTGAAGCACACACGTCTCAACGTCGTCGCCTTCCTCAATGAGCTGCCCAAAACTCAGCACGACATCAACTCTTTTGTGGTAGACATAAGCGCGCAGACAGTAAGCACCTGTTTCTTGCCCACAAAAGCCGGAACTGAGGAAGGGCAGTTAACGAGGCCTGGGGGCCTCCGGCTCCGGCCGGGAGCCTGCATGGTGACAGACGCCTCTTCTCTTTCAGAGTACGTTGCTGTGTTTTTCTGTCAACGGGGTCTTCAAAGAAGGTAAGAAGCTTTGGAGCCCTGAGTTTGCAGAGCGGGCCTCCCTCAGCGAGGTGGTTTTTTCCCCAGCACTCTCAGCTGCCTTCCTGCTCCGACCCCGACCTCCTCCTCTTCCTCCTCTGCTGCCCCCAGGCCGCCTCCGTGAGGCCTCCCGTCCCCACCTGTCTTTCCTGTCTGGGAAACGGGACAAGCCTGGGGGTTGGGAGGGCACAGGCTCTGGGGTCAGGCAGGCCTGGGCTTCCATTCCAGCCCCGGGCCCCTGGGTCTGTGGGCAACTTACATCATCTCTGGGCTTCGAATTCTTTATTTGTAAAAGGGGGCGGGTAGGAGCCATCTCACAGCCGTGCCGTGGGGAGTCAGCGGAGCGCCTGACACAGGAGCTGGCGCATGGGTCCTCTGGGTGGGCTAACGCTGGTGGTGGTTCGCCCTGGCCTCCGACACTCCTCTTCCTCTGCCCCCCTCTACACACACATAATCGTCTGTCTGGTCTGCTTCAGTTTAGTTGTATCCAGTAAGACCAGGATTGGAGAAGCTTTTAGTAAACCTGAGGTGTAGCTGATTCTAAGGGGTCGTTGCTGTTGTTAACATTACAGTGGATGGAAAGTCTCGGGATTCTTTGCGAGCCTTCACCCGGACATTTGTCGCTGTTCCTGCGAGCAACTCGGGGTGAGTGAGTGGCTTACCACATGGGGTCCCCGTCCCAATCCGTGGCCAGCATGTGGGAATTGGTGGGGGGATGTGATGGGGGAGCCAGTCCTCAGGAAATGTTCAGAATTTCAGGAGGAGGCTCTCACAGTGGTGGTAAGCTCAGCTCTGGAGCCAGACTGTTGGGGTTTTTCATCTGGCTGCACCACTTCTAGCTAAGAGCAAGTTTCCTCACTGGGAAACTAACATAAGCTACTTACTTCTTTGGTCTATTGTGAAGATCAGTGGGAATAAGAACTTCCCTGAGTTGGGGGAGAACGTGTAATTCTAATGTTGTTTGGCATCTGCCCCCGTATCTGGGTTCTTAGGGGCGTAAGGGGCGTAAATGATAAAAGGTAATGACCAAGAGTGGGGAGGGGGACTTGGTGGGTATTGAAAGAATCTGTCAAGTGTAAAAGTGTCAAGTGTGAGAACAGGAATAATGTTGGGAAGTTGAGGTTGGCTGTTTGTCCAGCTGTCTAAAGTGCTTTTTGTCCCAAAGGCTGTGCATCGTGAACGACGAGCTGTTTGTGCGGAATGCCAGCCCTGATGAGATCCAGAGAGCCTTTGCCATGCCGGCACCCACCCCTTCCTCCAGTCCAGTGCCCACCCTGTCCCCAGAGCAGCAGGAAATGCTGCAGGCGTTCTCTACCCAGTCTGGCATGAACCTTGAGTGGTCCCAGAAGTGAGTACTGGGCGTGTGTAGGAATAGGGGTAAACGGAGGTAGGGGTGGAAGTGAATAATGAGTGCTGCTGACATTTTGAAAGCCACAATTTATAAATATGGCCCATAAAAAAATTTGGCCTATGCCTAAATCAGCATAGCAAAAATTTTATATACTATTCTGCAAGCTACTTTTTTTGCTTATCCCATGAATGTCTTTCCCGATCATTATAAAAATTACCTTAGTCTTCTTGATAGCTGCTACTTAATACTCCTTTGTATCCAGTAGACCAGTGATAAGACATTTGGATTTTTACTAATTTTTCATTTGTAATACGTAGTGCAAGAATGTATGTGATTGTTGGCACACGTGGGTGAGTGTTTCTCTCGGAAGGATTTTGAAGTGGCCTTTAGTGAGCAGGGTGCCCTTCTCCCACTCCAGGTGCCTTCAGGACAACAACTGGGACTACACCAGATCTGCCCAGGCCTTTACTCATCTCAAGGTAAGTTTTGGAAATTCGGTAGCAAAAAGGCCAGGGATCTCTGGGCCTTGAGAGGGTCAGGCCAGCTGGGGGGAGGGGGGAAAGGGACTGGCTCTACTGACCTTTTCTTTTTTTTCTAAGGCTAAGGGCGAGATCCCAGAAGTGGCGTTTATGAAGTGATCTGCAGCCCTGCCCCAGAAGAAGCCCCCTGTAAAATAGCCCTTGGATATTGACGTCTCCTTGTCCTGGCTGTCGGCTGTTGTCTCCTCCTCTCTGGCCCCTAGGCCACCCCGTGACTGTGACCGAAGAGGAAGGGCTGCTGGATCCCTCTCCTCACCTGCCTTCTGGAAGACTTCTGGGAGACTTCCAGAAGATTGAGCCTCGCTGGTGCCAGGAAGCCAAAGCTTACTTTGTAGAACTGACACTAAACTCCCCCGAAGGATTTAGGTGCTTTGTGTACTTAACCCCAGAATCCGCCGTACTTTTTAAGATAAAGAGTGATATTGTATTTTGTGTCACGGTGCTACATTGTTTCTGCCTCGCCCCTGCCCGCGGGGCGGTGGGGGGGGGGGGGGGAGGATCCCCCCTCCCCCACCAGGGAGGATGGCCTCTAAGCTCGGGGGCGGGGCCGCAGGCCGGATGTCCCGCCCCGGAAGCGGCGACGCGCTGGGGCCATGGCGGCGCTTGGGCGGCGGTGGCCTGTGCGGCTGCTCGTCGCGCTGCGGCTCCTGCACGACGGGGCTCCGTCGCGGGACGTGCTGCTCTTCAAGCACGAACGGGGCCGCTTCTTCGCCGTCCTCGGGCTGTTCTGCGCGGGCCAGGGCGTCTTCTGGGCGTCCCTGGCCGTGGCAGCCTTGGCCCGACCCCCGGCCCGGGCGCTGCCTCCAGACGCGGAGCCCGCAGACCGCGGCCGCTTGGACCTGCGCTCCGCGCTCTGGCGCTACGGCCTGGCCGTCGGCTGCGGCGCCATCGGTAAGGCGTGGGCTGGCTTCCAACACGGGGCCGTGGGGCGGCTGGACACGACCCTCCCTGCCCCGGCAAGGACCGAGCAGGGCTCCCGACCCGCCGGGCCGGGCCACGCTGGAGTTGAGGCCCTAGAGCCAAGCCCTCGGACAGGCCTAGGGTGAGGTTGGCCTCTCACTGTGCGAGCCCGAGCAGTTAACACCGCTCTGACCCGTCTCGCCCTTAAAACCGGGGTGTACATGAAGGTTGTTGGGGAGGAAGGAGGAACACAAGAGTCGGGTAGAAGAGGGGCTCGGTAAATGTTACTATCATCACAATTTTTAAAATTCTGGGCCACTGGAAAGGTTGCCGCCTAGCTCCTCAGCAAAAACCCCTCACCCCAAACTTTGGTCTTCCTGCAGGTACCCTGGTACTTGGCGCTGGTCTTCTCTTCTCCCTCCGTTCTGTGCGTTCAGTGATGCTGCAGGCTGGAGGGAAGCAGGTGACCCTCACCACTCATGCCCCCTTTGGCTTGGGTGCTCATTTCACCGTCCCTTTGAACCAGGTATCCTGCATGGCCCACCGTGGTGAAGTCCCTGCTATGTTGCCTTTGAAGATCAAAGGCCGGCGCTTCTACTTCCTCTTGGACAAAGCTGGACATTTCCCCAACACAAAACTCTTTGACAATACTGTGGGTGCCTACCGCAGCTTGTGAAGAAACCACCTTGGGTCGCTCACCTCTCCCAGAGGGGAATAAAAACCGAACCTTGGAGATGGGGTGACAACCAAGGGCAGGACACAAGGGGGCCCAGGGTTCATGAACAGCAAATAAAAGATCAGTCATCCCAAGGGCAAGGGAGAGAACCTCTGACTTTTGTTCCATGTCTGTTTAGTTCTGTCTTCCCATCCACCTGCCTACAGTGCTTTAACACCAAGAACTCCGTAACAAGATGAAGGAAGAAAGTAATATAATATTCTGGTACAAAAACAGCTGTAGGAAGAGAGGTGGAGGGGGCCTATCATCATGTTTCCCTCGTGGAGGGAAAACAGGCTCCCAGCATAAACAGGGCCATGAAGGGGCAACAGGATTGTAGGCACTTGGGCACAGAGTCTTTGGCGGCAGGAAGCATTCTTTGGTCACTCTTCAGGAACGGGAAAGGCGTGGCCCAACGAGAGCATCTGTCTCAGAGCTCCATTCAGGGTCGCCCCGCTCCAGAGGCCGGTATGGGGCCGCTTCGGACTTCCACTGCACCACCTGAAGCACCAAGACCACACACCACAATACCAGATTCACCCAAGAAGAGGTCTGTGGGAGACAGGAACAGCAGGAGTGTGAGGAGTGCGGCCATCTCAAACCCAGTTCCACCCACAAACCACTATCCTCTGTTCACGGTCAGGAAAGCCCTTCAGCCTCTCACTGGAGGGCACCCTTAGCAACTACAGATGCTTATAGGAATCTGTGGATCCCTGGGTTTCCACCGGTCTTTCATATCCCGGGACCTCACTTCAGCATTGTGTAGGTTGGAGTAAAACTGCAGGGCGGTTCCAGGAGGTGTCCATGGAATTTTCTGAGCTTCAGAGCAGCTGTGAGGTCAAAGAGACAGTGGTGAGAAAAGGAGGATATACTCCGAACACACCCATGGCCAGGTGCCCTTCAAGGTGAGAGCAACTGACAGGAACAGAAAGGGGGTTATGGCTCCCCTCTGCAGGGGGAAGGCAGCCCCAGCCGGGGTTCCGTCCCTCTCCCATTACCTAATTGTAATGTTCAAGGAGATGATGGATTTGCAGAGAGAACGGGTGCCAAATCGAAGAATACAGGCAGCCACTAAGACCAGGAAGATGGCTGTAGCTGAGATGACCAGTGCAATGCGGAGCCCTATGGGACCTCTATGAGGAGGGAGAGAGTAAGCCTCGTGGTTGAGGGGGGACTTCTCCCAGCTCAGCCCCCCGCCCTCAACGTAGGGCAGTCACCTGTGGGAGTCCTCGATGCAGCTGCTGTAGACCCAGAAGAGCAGAAGCAGGAGACAGTAGAGGGCCAGGAGGCCAGACACCCCTGCCACAAAGTAGCAGAGGGATGGGGCCGAGGGTTGGGCTAAGGCCGGGGAGGAGCCATTCAGGGCGGCCACACCATACAGGGGACAGCGGCCACTGAAGGAGCCCTGTGAAGAGAAGCTGCTGAGTCCTACCTAGATTTCAGGTTAGAGCCTCAGCGCAGGCCCATGGTAAGTGTGAGGGATAACCTAGTAGAGGGCTACCCTAGGAAGTTCTATATACAGTCAGTTCCTGTTTCTGGGCCAGTACGCTGACGGAGAGGGCCTGCCGGGGAAGTCAAACCCGCGGTGGCCACAAAGATCAGGAAGTAGGCGGCGGTTAATAAAGGACAGTGAGCTTCGGAGATGCCTCACAAGTTCTGGTCTCCCCTCGGCAGAAATCCTAGTGTAAAACCAGAACTTGTGTAACCTTCAGCTATCTCCGGTGTTTTCGCATCCATTAAAAAAAAAAAAAAAAAAGTCCTAAGAGGGGCGCCTGGGTGGCTCAGTCGTTAAGTGTCTGCCTTTGGCTCGGGTCATGGTCCCGGGGTCCTGGGATCGAGCCCCGCGTCGGGCTCCCTGCTCAGCGGGAAGCCTGCTTCTCCCTCTCCCCCTGCTTGTGTTCCCTCTCTCGCTGTCTCTGCCAAATAAATAAAATCTTAAAAAAAAAAAAAAAAGTCCTAATAGTGCCTACTTTGTAGGGTTACATGAGCCTGTGCTTATCAACACGACTGCCTGGCTAGGGAAACCCTAGGGCTTTCCGTGGGCGTTTCCTACATGGCTGTTTTGTCATTCACACACACTGGGCTGCAATCCTGCGGTAGCCTGGTCATCTCCGCTACACTAAGCTTTATTTCCTGGAGGAGCTCGGCACAACAGTGTCTGATTTAAGGGATGAAGGCAGGGCCTGGACCGAATTCTGCTGCAGAACCAGTGTGAGGTCATGCAGCCGGAGCCACCAGGCCGGGCTATGTCTGCCGCTGTAAGTCACTCCGGAGGACTCGTCCTTTCGGCGAGGAAACGGCTGTGAAGCAGAACACCGGCGGGCGGAGCCACAGAGCGCGATCGGCGCCGATGCATCCCGGCCGCACACCGGCGCCCGCAGGGCCTCACCGGGCCCACCGGCTCCCGGGAGCAGCGCGACGGGACCAGGCCGGCCCGGACAGCAGAGCCAGCACCCCCGCCCCGCCTCACCTCCCCGACCCCAAGGCCGGCCCCGCCCCGCACCTGGGTCCGGGTTAGCGTCGCGGCCGCCACGGCCCCGCACAGGAAGGCGGCGGTGAAGAGCAAGAGCTCGAAGCGCTGCAGCCAGGGCAGCGCCATGGCGCCCCCAACACCAGGAAGGGCCGCGGCGGGAGCCAACCGCCCAAGCCCCGCCCCATCCGGCGCGACCCACGAGCGCGGAGACGTCACTTCCGACACGGGGCTTTATTTACAGAGGCGGGGAACGGAAAGACCCAGGAAAGCGCCGTTCAGAGCGGCAGGTACAGCGAGTAGTCCGAGAGCGCCCAGCGGCGGGCCGGCCGGCCGGTGCGGCCGATCATGGGCAGCTTCTGCACGTAGCGGGAGGCCGGGCTGGGCCCGTACGGCGCGGGGAAGGCGGTCTGGAAGAGGCGCCCGCGGCACCGCCTCCCGGCCTGCCGCCCGGCAATAATGAAGCAGAAGTGGGGGGCGCCGCGCGGGGCGAAGCGGCTCTTCTGGAAGACGTCGCGGGTGCCGGCGCCGGGCCCCTGCTGCCGGGGCGCCCCCCGCGCCCGGTGCACGCGCGGCAGCGGCCGGCTCTCGGAGGCGGCGGGCGCAGAGGCCGACGCGGGGCCGCCGCCGCGGGGGCTCTCGTCGCCCTGGGGGCTGACCATGGCGTTGGCCGTCAGCTGCGGCATCTTCCGCACCGAGTCCGGGGCGGCCGCCGGCTCCTTCTTGTCCCCGGGCGGCCGCGGAGTGGTAGGCGCGGGCTGACCCGTGCCAAAGCGGGTGGCCAAGCTGTCCCCGAAGAAGGCGTAGAGCTCCCGGTAGATGTCCGCCAAGGTCACCGATGGGGAAGGGTCCTCCGGCCCCGCGCCTCCTGGTGGCAGCGGGAGGACAGACCCAAAGCCTGGCTCCGCGCTGCCCCCGGAGGGAGACTCCTGCAGAAGAAGGCTGTCCCAGGGCAGGTCGTCCGAGCGCCGGCACCCCCTGCCGCTTGGGCCCCCCTTGTTGGGCTCTGCCGCCTGGGCCTTCATCTTCAGCAGTCGCTCTACGGCCACCTGCAAGAGCGGAGGGACCAGGACAGGCAAGAACTAGGAGGAACCTGGGCCCGTCAAGTTTTCCAAAGTTAAGGCAGGTGAGCTGCTGAGCTCAAGCAGGGAAGAAGGGAGGCGGAAAGACGCAGGCACTCACCAGAATGGCTCCATAAACCTTGTGCCCATCTGCTTTAACCTGGGCGTTAGAGACGGAATAATCATCTAGCACAGCCTGCAGATTTGTCCAGTAAGTGGACAGGTGTGGGTACAGGACGCGTTCCACTGCCTGGAAGGGAGAGAAGGCAGGCAGTAAGCACCTCTTTGTTGCTTATTGCCTCTCAAGTACCCTTTCTCATGAAAGACCTACTTTTATCCGATATGAAATTAGCTTGGCATATTCAGCCAACATTTATTTGGAACCCACTGTATGCCCAAGCCTTTGCTAAGCACTGGGAATAAAGGTCAGGTACAAAAACAATATAAAGTGACCCAACTATCACTGACCTGCATGACAGAGGCTAAGAGGGTATATATAAGTAATGCCCATTGCGAACAACAGACAAATTTAATTTGCCAACTGTTACCCTATATGGTCAGTAGGCAAGTATTCTTGCCTACTGAGATGTAAACTGGGACTCAGTTCAAACCACCTGCATAAAAACAAGCAACTGATCAGAGACCTGGTCTCTGATTATGTATCAAATTTTAAATCCTGTGATTAATTTTCGGGAAAGCAATTAAGACTTCACAGAGGAGGCGACCTCTGTTACGTGCTTTGCTGGGTCAGAGTTCTCCGTTGGTCATCCACAGCCTAAGGATTTGAAAATGTTAACAAATGGGTAAGTTCCTAGAGAAATATAACTTACTGCTGACTCAGCTATAAAAACTTAAATTCTCTACCCACAGTAGGTAACCAATCACAAATAAAACACTTTGCTAAAATTTACAAAGACAGTCTACAGATATTCAAGGAAAAGAGCATCTCAATCTTAAAAAACAAATGAGAAAGAAATGCTCCCACCCTACCTCAGTCTATAAGGCCAATATAACCCAGATACTAAAACTCTACAAGGACAGTACATGAGAAGAAACTTATGACTGATTTCACTCGTGAATACAGAAAAATCTTTTAAAATTTAGTACACCCAACAGTATACAAAAAATGCCTTGTATTCCAATAAAAGATTTTTTAAAGTCTATACTATAGCCTATTTGAGTCTATACAGAGAAATGTAATGATGGTTTACTATTAAAAACCCATAAATAGGGGCACCTAGGTGGCTCAGTTGGGCTCTTGGTTTCCACTTGGCTCAGGTGGTGATCTTGGGGTCATGCAATGCACAGTCTGCTTGAGGGCTTATCCCTCTCCCATCCCCTCCCTCTGCCCTGCTCTCAAGTGTGAAAATGCTCTCTCTAAATAAAATCTTTTTTAAAAATCCATAAATACAATTAATCACATTAACAGATAAAAGCAGAAAAACCTGAGGATCAATTCAAAAGATACAGAAAAAGCATTTGATACAAATTCAACATAAATAATAAAACCAAGAATATAAAACAATAAAGTAATTTTCTTAATCTGAGAAAGGATATCAATAAACACAAGGTAAACATCAGTAATAAGTGGGAACGTTATTAGCACTTCTCTTATCGGAAATGACACAAGGATGCCCCTTATCATCATATGTAAAATGATATTGGCAGTCCCAGCAATAAAATAAAAAGAAATTAAAGGCATTAGGTTTAGAAAAGATGAAATAAAGCCGTCATTATTTGTACCATATGATCTACATTAAAAGCCCAAAAGAATGAGGCACCTGGCTGGCTCAGTGGGTAGGGTGTGCAACTCTTGATCTTAGGGTCGTGAGTTCGAGCCCCAAGGTGGATATAAAGATTACTAAAGGGCGCCTGGGTGGCTCAGTTGGTTAAGCGACTGCCTTCGGCTCAGGTCATGATCCTGGAGTCCCGGGATCAAGTCCCGCATCAGGCTCCCGCTCGGCGGGGAGCCTGCTTCTCCCTCTGACCCTCTCCCCTCTCATGCTGTTTCTCTCTCTCTAATAAATAAATAAAATCTTTAAATAAAAAAAAAAGATTACTAAAAATAAATAAGCTTAAAAAAAATAATACAAGCGGAATTGAGGAATAGTTCCTTAACATGATTAACATAATATGGGCAGGAATTTATGAAGTGGGGATATATTAGTATCTTTATCTTTGAAAGGATAAGACATTGATATACAGAAAGTCAGGTTATCAACTAGCCTGGCCTCGGGCAAGAACTCTATACACGGCAGCAGCAAACACAGACCCTTTTTGTGAGAAAAGACACACAGATACTGTTCTTCTAATTACAAATGGGAGCTCTTATGGCTCTGTCTGCGGGAAAGGCCAGGGTCCTCACCTTCCAGCCAAGGGCATGCAGCCCCACCACAGCCCCGTAGTGAGAGCAGAGAGGCCGCACAGGGTCTGCCAAGACCTTCTGCAGGGAGAGCAGGATCTGCTGATAAAGGCCGCTCACAAGGTCCCCATGGGTCCTACGGGAGCAGCATTCAGAGAGGAGAATGAAGCAAGGGGCCGCCCAACCGGACTCGAGTCAGAGCACACAGAGAACATGGCGGTCTTTGGCGCCCTGGGATAAGCCAACAAGGTCGCGCCATCCATTTATAAAATCCCGGGGTGCCACAGCGCAGCGATCGGGAAGCTCTAAATGGAAAGAGGCTCCCTGACCTTGCAACACAGGGCCTTGCAGCCAAACATTACCCCCGCCCCACACCACAAGCCCCTCTGCACTGTGGCAGCCCCACCACCCTTTGCTGGGCTGGGCCCAGTGGCTACCAGAAGATGTGGCTGAGCAGGAGGGCAGCGCCATCTCGAAGAGTCCAGTGGTCATTCAGAGGGTTGATGGAGGCAGCCAGGGGCTCCAGGACGCAGTAGAGGACGCTGCCGACCAGGGAGCGTACGTAGGGCCCCAGGCACAGGTGTGGGTTCCGAATCAGGCTCCGGGCCACTTGCAAGAGCCGATGCAGCTGCTCCAGGTCGTGACTGACAGACTTCACCTGTTTGCAGCGGGCGCTGGCTGAGGGGCACATGAGGGGGCAGGCAGGAGCCTGCCGCTCTGCTGGCACCTGCCACCAGCCCTCCCCAGTGCTGGGTCGTCTGCCCGCAGAACCTTCTCCCCTTCCCCAGCCTGGTCACTCACCCCACTGACCACATAGACAAAGTAAGGCAGGAGGGCTGCGATCTTGGAGTTAGTCTGCAGGTCCTGGAGAGCAATCTGAAACGGAAGGAGCCAGACTGCACTGGGTCCACCAGCCCCAAGGATAAACGGACATTTTTTAAAGGACGGTTGAGTACTTCTGTAGTAAAATTGTACATGTTCACACTCTTTGATTCAACAACTGTACTTCTATAAATTTAACCCACTGTAAGAAATACCCACTCACACACACACCCACTCCTAGCCCTGTCTGTGACAACACGAAACTGAATACACCCTAGATGCCCCACACGTTTTTAACTGAGAGAAGCAGCTGTTCTAAAACCAGATGTTTACTCTAATACCACTTTGCTTTATTCTAGAGTAATCACCGTTAAAACACACACACAAAAAAGGTAAGTTGTTTCCATTGGAGACTCTCACTTTCCAGCTTGTGTGTTTTTATTTTACAATCCTTCTATAATGAACATGCTGGTATTACTTTTATAAGCAGAAGAAAGGAGAGTTAAGTAAATGAGAAAAACCGTCTTAGCCCTGAATCTCCGCTGTGACCTCCTAACTCCCCTGGATAAAGCTCCTGTGCTCAGGTGCTGCAGACAACAGGCTGGCGAGGAAGGAGCTCAGCTTCCAGGCCCTGCATCCAGCCATCTGCCCTGCGCCTGGGGACCGGAGCCATGCTCCTAAGGCAGGCCTGTACGGGAGGGACATTCCCAGTTTTGCCGGGGGAGTGGCAACGACAGCCAGACACGTGGAGAAGTGGAGAATGTAAGCCCTCCAGGAGAGGCCTCGAGCTTGAGCAGACCAGCAAATTAGCGCTGCCCTCATTCTGGACAGGTTGCGTCCGACAGGCCCTGCGGAGTCCCAGACGCTAACGTGGCGGAGTCTCCGGGCCAGGTGGCCGGGCACCCTGACCTGGCCGCCTCTACTTCCTTTC